AAAAAAAAAAAATACCAGAAATTTAAAAAAAAAATCTATTTTATTACCAAACAGTTAAATCCTTCAAAATTTGAAAAATACATTATTTGTTGGTATGGTATAGAAGAAAAAGCATACGACTGGAATCCAAAAAATTTTCATCTGCTTCCTACTAAATGAAATGTCTTGGAGGAAGTAAATTAATATCCATATGCTTATTTCTTTTTATGTGAAATGTAAGTAGGGAGAGGGTCATGGCTAACCCCACCAAACCTGCCCACTCTAAATAGGTTCTGCCATCCACTGCATCAAGACAAGACATATAAGACCTTTAATGGAAAGGCACTTTAGTACAATTAATGTGCAATATAGAAGAGACAAAGAATATAGTAAATCAAACACCTGAAGTTACCCATCCTCATGTGGGTAAAAGTCCACCCAAAAGGGATTGGCCCAAAGCAAGACCTGAATGCTAGACACAAGTGTAAAGCACTTTCTGGTCGGACCCATAGGAAAGGGTCAGAAATGGCCAGAGCAAAATCAAAATCAAGATAAACACTACCATACTCAGTCTCCCCACGGGTGTCTCATCCACATCTGTCTCACCCATATCTGTTTCACCCACATCTGTTTCAACCATCCCAGGGCCAAGAAACAAGAGCCGCTTCTTCACAGTCTCTCTGCTCCATGTGCCTCCCTCAGGGCTCCTCCTGGCTCCCTGTCCTCCTTCCTTCCTCTTCAGTCTCCTCTCCAGATTCTTCTCTTCCCTGCTCAGCAATACCCTCCTTTTGTGTGGGACAAGGAACCAGGAACCTCCCCTTTTACTGGGGACTCCCCTGTTACATTACCACATCCGTCTCCAGCAACTAGAGCAAATGAAACGATTAGTAGGTAATTGTTGTGATCCTTCCTTATTAGGGTGTGACTGGGATGATTAGATGTATATTTAGGAAAGAACTCTCTTAATGTGAACCTTATAGTTGCCGAAATGAAGGTTAAAATCTCAATTCTTACGCTCAGTAATACATGAACAGTTAAGTTGCTAAGTGTGTCTGCTTGGCAAGAATTAAAAGTTGCTGCAGTATTCCAAGTCCTTTGTTTCCACGCTGCAGCTAAACTTGAGGTGGAGTAGATGCCACCCCAAGAAACTACTGTCTTTACTCATCCATAAGAGCTAACCCCTTATCCATTAAAGTTCTGTCATGAGATTAGAGCCGTTCAGCTCATCTTCAAGGTCCACTTCTAGTTCTCTACAACAGTGGTTGCTTCCTCCACTGAAATCTTGGACCCCTTAGAATTATCCACAAATATTGGAATAAATCTATTTCAAACTCCTGTTGTTGATATTTTAACCTCTCTTGAATCATGAATGGTCTTAGTGGCATCTAAATGATGAATCCTTTCCAGGTTTTCCATTGATTTTACCCACATCCGTCAGAGGAACCACTGTCCTGTAACAGTTGTAGCCTTAAAATGTATTTCTGAAATAATAGGACTTGAAAGTTGAAATTACTTCTTGATTCATGGACTGCAGAAGTGGATCTTGTCAGCAGGTCTAACAACATTCATCTTTGTACATTTCCATTGGAGTCCTTCATCGTGTGCCCTCTTCCCTCCGAAGGGATGGAGCATACTTACAATGCATTTAACACCCCTGTGTGCTAAACATGCTTATTTCTGGCCCCTTTCTGTTCGCCTTTTCACCTGAAGGCAATCATATTTCCTACTTTAAATGCCTAGAATGTTTTTATTGTATGTCAGATTTTTTCATAATTGTGCACAATTTTGTTGTATTCCTTTAGGTAATATTGGACTTTGTTTTTGCAATTAGTTAGGTAATTTTGGGACTTCTTTTAAACTTTTTGGGGTGGATCCAGAGCACCTTTTAGTCTAGGGCCGAATTAGTTCTCTGCTGGTATTGTGATACCTTCTGCTGTCTTTCCACTTTGTTGGGTATAGGTACAAACTACTCTCCATATTTTAAGCATTGGGAATTTTGGTTAATCGTTCTGCTTTCTGGTTGATCTCCCCCTTGACAATTTCTCCTCATGTGTGCAGACCAGCAGTCTGCTTTGGGTTCAGGGGAACCCTCTGCAGGTCTCCGAAGCTGTCTCTTTGTACCGCGCTCCTCCTTGAATACTGCTCAGCTAATTCTAGCCACATTTGCCTTCCAACTCAATTTCTGGTGTCCTCAACTGATAAAATTTAGTAGCTTTTCCTTCCCAGAATGCCAACCAGGGTCTTCCCTAGAGTACTCTTGCAGGTACACAGGCACCCCTGCAGGCCACCCAGGCACCCTTGTCCCTCTTTTCCCCATCAGCGCAGTGCAACACTGCTTGAGCTCCAGGGCCCAAAAACTACTGTCTTATATACTTTATCCAGTTTGTGCTGATTACAGCAAGAAAGTAAATCTGGTTATTGGTACTTGGTCTGGGTCCTTTCTCCTTAATGTAGAGTGAGCCTGTATTGGTTCTAGGAAAAAACTAGACACGTGGCCATCTGTTCTCAGCCACCCTAAATGTAGCACAGTTTTGTGTCCTTTTTATTATTTCTAGAGCTCATACTAATTAAACTAATTTGAACTTGAGTGTTATTCACTGGTTAGTTTGAAATTATTTACAGAAAGTATTAATTTGGGGTTATGTGTGGCAAACTGACCTAGAGTAACTTCACATCAGTGATGGACATGTTGTATTCTAACCTAAGGATGTTGTGAACCATCCATATCTCTAATTCCTTTATTGTTTGAACTGTGTAATGTTTATTGTTCTTTAATACGAATTTGCTGACTTTATAATTTATGTAAGAAAATGACTACAATCTTTTCTTAATTGTGAGCATTCATAGCTTGCAAAGACCATAAAATAGTTCTTAGACCGTTGCAATGTGATCTTTAGAATACATGGTTTATTCCAGTACAAGAGCAACTGTTGGGATATCTTTTTGTAGATTGACCTGCCGTAAAATTAAAACCTCCCAAATATTTTGTAAATTAGCAATTAGAGAAATGTTTTAGTCCACTTGGGTTTTAGGGAAGGTGAACAAAGCAAGATTAAAAATAAAGTTTTAAGGACTCCCTGGTGGCATAGGGGGTTAAGTCTCAGCACTATGAAGCTGTCTCTAGCCATTGCAGCTCAGGTTTGAACCCCCGACACGGAGCTGACCCACATGGTGCAACAGACCTCCTGACCTGCCGGCTGCTCCCCTCAGCAGTGTATTTCAGTAGATCTTCCTGTTCTGCTCTCTACTCTATCTCTGGTGGATCATCTCTCTCACACACACACCCTTCTAACCTACACCCCAGTTTTTGTATGCATGAATGGATAAATCTTTAAAAAAAAGAAGTAAGGTTTTACATTATTATGGCTATACTACTGCTGTCTGATAGGAATGTTGTGAAAGTTGTAATATAAAATAAAATGCCTATGAGGTAAATTTGAGGTTCTAAATGGTTACGCCTCTGGTCTTTGTGGTATTATTTATAGCATAGTTACTTGGAGTGAATGTTGCAATCAAAGGAACTAGATTCTAGTCTCCAGACTAGTCACTGTGCCACTTAACTGTGACTATAGACTCTTGTGTACTTACTGCATTTTGTGAGAGTCTCTTAGCCTGTGAGATGAAAGTGATGATAAACCTCCATCCTGGTGCCAAAGGTGGGGGGCATTATGTGAGAGGGTGGCGAGGAAAGTGAGGCTGCTGATGTACCATAGAAATTTTAGTCATTAAACTTTATTTTGTGTGTTAATATAAAATTCGGCAGAATGCACAGCAAGGTATAGTTGTTATACTCTATGCTGTTTACTGTGTTGAAAAAAATAGATAGCACTGACTAAACAGATTGGAGATAAGGAGAGTACTGTCTTCTTTACACATTTTTCTTAGTATTATTTTGTTTTCCCATCTCACGTTCCAGGCAAAGAGTGTGTGCAACAGTTAGCAGAAAACACCAGGTATTTCAGGAGACGTCTGAAAGAGATGGGCTTCATCATTTATGGAAATGAAGATTCTCCAGTGGTGCCTTTGATGCTCTACATGCCAGCCAAAATTGGGTAAATTTTGTTGTCTATTATAGAGCAGTCTCTCATTAGACTTAAGGTTTCTGTTATATGAGACTAGACTATATGTATTTTGTAATGAAAAATTGTCTTGGCCCATTTTGTTAACCTTCATTTGTTAGATATGAATCAATAGTGGATTCCACTTAAATAGTGGCTTCCTCTTTATAAATTAGTTGTTGGTGCCATTAAACAAACATTTGAGCTTAATGTACTCTTCCAGCTTCATTTATAGGTTAGTGCAAAAGCCCTGTCCATTGGCACTTATATTCTAGTTGGCCACGAGTCCGATTTTGTAATATGTTAGAAGATGTTAAATGCTAGGAGGAAAAATAGACCAAGATAGGGAGGTTGGGGAAGCTGCACAGGCAGGCAAAGTTACAGTATGATATGTGGTGGCAGGGTATTATGCCTCACTGGGCAGGGAAGATGACAGACAGGTAAAGACCGGAAGGAACTGACAGGGCTAGCCACTGGAGTAGAGCTTCTGTGCAGCTGTAACACGGAAGCAGCATGCTATGCCAACGCGGGCTGAAGTGCAGTGCCCAAGGGAAGGAGTGGCTGAGCAGCTCCTTCTGCCCACTTGTGTGTATGCAAACAGTCTTTACTTTTCTTTCCCTTTCTATAGTAAACTGTGCTTTAGCATACTTGTTTTTGAAAAGATTGCCATGAGGTTAGGCCTGTTGTTGCATATTAACCAGATGTGCACATTACAACCTTCTTTAGCTTGTGCTTGTGCAAGAGAATGGAGTGGAATACAATTATTTACAAAATAACTATATGCGGAATTGCAACAGAGTTGTAAAGTAAGGGAGTTCTGTGCTTGCTAAAGGTTTGGGAGAGGAAGGAAAGACATCTTTTTAGATTGCTAACTTCTGACCGGGTTATACTGAATTTATTAAGAGAGCAGATGTTTTTTACTCGTCTTTCAATCATCAGTGCCCACCACTGAGTCCTCGGGACTCGGGTTTCTTCAAGTGAAGAGTTTAGGAGAGAAAATTTTAAGTCAGGGAATATGGTGGAAGTATGGTGAATCCAAAAATAATGGGAGGAAAATGGGAGAAAGGTACTTACTGAGGGAAAAAAGAACAACTCAGAAGGGAGGGAAATGCACGGGACTATGGTGGTGGCACAGGGGTGATTTGGTGATGGGAAACCCATGGGGATTACAATTGAGATGAAAAAAAAAAATGTGAAAAATGATGTAAAAATAAACTTTTTAATAAAAAAAAAAATCTCTTTCCAAACAAAAAAAAAAAAAAAAAAGAACAACTCAGATTTCAACAGGATGTTACATGGCAGTGGGGATTGGGAAATTAATAAAGCAGAGGTGCAAGATTTTTCTTGTTTTGCTTTAATTGCAGTTATCATAAATAAATCTGAAGAATTATTAGATTTGGAGGACTCAATGTAGAATCCATTCTTTAAAGGGCTATATCTATTCTACACAGGTGAAATTGACCACACATTTTAACTAAGTGAGATTTAGAGGGAGTGCAAAAGAATTGGGATAAAGAACTTCGGTTTGAGAGCTGATGGTAAAGGACAATGGGCTCGTCCTCTGGCAAAGGAAGGACACTGGTGACAGTGTACTGGTACTCAAATAGGGGACGGCTGGCACTGATGTAATTAGTCATGTGTTGTGATTAGTCATTAGTTACATGGTGCAAATGTAACTAAGTGTGCCAGGTTTTTTTATTCTCAAACAAATGCTGTACACAGCTTTTGTGTATAGGGGAAAGTCAAAAAGGAATAGGACATGTGAACAAGAGGAAAAATACAACCACATAATTTAGTAAGAGACAAAATTAAATGAAAGTTGCAATTGCTTTGTCTAAACACAGTGCAAATGTGGCGTAAGGTTACATGGCACCTGTTTGGCTTTGGGTAGAGTGTTAAACAAGAATTGTATAGTCTGAGTAGTCAGGTGAAGCCAGAGAGTGAGCTGGCTTCTCAAACACCAAAGGAAACCCTGAATTCCAAAAACAGTGTGACACCCAAATGATCAAAGAAACATCTGGTCTGGATGGCTAGTGCTAGTCAGCCAATTCTGTCAGCAGAAAGATGCCCATATCAGGAGGTCCTTGAGACTGTTCTAAATCATCAAGCCTAACATTTCGAGGCCCATGTTTTAAACCCAGTTTGTTTTGAAGCCCTCTCAATCACCGTTACTTGTTAGGAACATTCTTTAAGTAACTGCGAGTTACTGTAGGCATGCCATGTTAAAAGTTGGTCTCTGCCAATTCTCTTCTATCACCTCTGTGAAGAAAACCATTTGGGAGAAGACCAGCTTAGGGTTAAATAAAAGAAGTCAGGGGAAATTTTAAAAGAAGTTAGGGGAAATTCCTAAAAGAGGTTTCCAATGACTGTGTATACCCAAGAGTTTTGATCATTCAGGACTACAAGACCTTTGTACTGTGTGCTGTGTTACTACTTGGATTTGTCTTCCTTTGTAGCGCCTTTGGGCGGGAGATGTTGAAGCGGAATGTTGGTGTGGTTGTGGTAGGATTTCCTGCTACTCCGATTATCGAGTCCAGAGCCAGGTTTTGTCTGTCTGCAGCACACACCAAAGAAATACTCGATACTGTAAGTAAATACCCTTTACTCTGGTGTAAATATATCCTATACTGAAGGTCACCTATGTACCAGGTGAAATTAATCATCTCCTGATCCTCATGTTCTTTGAGTATCTGATGTATTTATGGACAAAGAAGAGGGTTACACAGTGATGCTTAAAATATTCCTATTTACAAACAAATTGCCTGTCAGCCTCTCCCACCAGACCATGTGTGGTAGGGCTTTGTGGGATTTTCCAGCTTTATCTTGTTGTTACCCTCTCCTCAGTATGCAACTACACAATTCTTTTTCTACTCTGAGCTCTCTTGTATGTTGTCTGTCTCTAGGATTTTCTCTTCTTGAACCTTCACTTTCCTCAGTTTGACTTATTTACCACATTTCTACTTAAAAGAAACTTGCTTAAGGGGCTCAAACCTTCTTACTAGATGTGTCCTTGGAGCCTTAAGATGCCCTCTGTAAACTGTAACTGTACTTAATGGTAACCTTCTCAGTTAGATCAGTCTTGAGCCTGAGGACTGTGTCTGTTGCCTACCACACATAAGTGTCAGACACATAGTAGGTGTTCATAATTATCACTGAATTTAATTATTTGTAGTCTTTCAATCTAGTTTCATCTCTTGATTGTCTCTCAGTATGCTATTATTTCACAACTAAAATTTCAGACTTTCTAGGCTGTGAAACATGACATTGCATCAAATCAATTGTAGGAATTATTCATTAATATATTGGAGAACTTCAGTTTTAAGAATATTATAAAAGTTTATTATATTAATTTAATTGACATTTTCTATTTCTGAATAGCAGAAATGATTTTTTTCTTCTCTGTACATAACAAAATGTAAACAAGTATAAATATATTCTTAATCACATTCTAACACTATGAAATTCGATTTAATGTATTGTTACTATATCTTTATTTTGATTGTATCAATTTTTTTAATTCAGTTTTTCCCATTTCTCACCTGTCTTACTGGTAAATTTCTTCGTCGATTTTTATTTAATCCAGTAAACTCAGCTTTTCCACCTTTGTACTCTATTTGGATGTTTAGGAGTCTGGACATGGCTTTAAAAATGTTTATCATTAAAAAATGTTTATCATTACAAGCAGTGACTATAATCACTGTTTCCTAATAACAGATTTGTTACTTACTGAGCACTGCATATGTCCGTGAAAGAATTTAAATACAAGTAGGAGACCTAAGCAGATTTCAGTTGTCAACAGTAGGCTTGCCAATTAAGAATTATAATCCTTTTCAGAGAATGTACTTGAGGAAATTTTTGACTATGTTTTCCATTTACTTTTTTTTTTAAAACATTGAGTATATTTTTTGAAACCAGAGGTTGATTGAAGTCATTTTATCTTGTAATGTTTTGTGCAACTGAATGTGAATATTTTGAGGTATAAACTGATTTGCACTTAATAATGGTCCATGTGACTTTTTTTTTTAGGTTTACTTATGCGTATAGAACTGGGGTACAGGCCAGAGGTTCAGGGGTGGTGAGAGGCTTCACCAGAGACAGAGTGGGGAGAAGAACAGGCTAACTGATGAGACACTGCTAAGGGGAGCAGCGAGAGGGGTCAGGAGAGGTCTGCCGCGCCATGTGGATCACCTCCAGGGCTGGGGATTGAACTCATGTTGAAGTGGCTTTAGCTTCTTAGTGCTGTGCTTTAACCTGCTGTGCCTCCAAGGAGGGCCTGTGTGACATGATTTTATGTGTAGAAAATGCCATGAAGTCGACCCAGAAAAACCTACTGGAGCTAATAAAGACATTTAGCAGCATTGAGGAATGAAAGATCATTACATAAAAATTAGTGTTTTTGTACAACAACAATAAACAGTTGAAAAGGAAATTTAGAAAATTTCATTTGTGATAGTATCCAGAAGACAATATCTAGGGATGACTTTAAGAAAGGACATAAAAGATTTGCATATTAAAAATTCTAAAGTGTGGCTGAAAAAAATATTTAAATAAATGGAAAGGTATCATATGTTCACAAATTAGAAGAATTAATGTAGTTATGAAGACAGTACGGATACTTGTAAATCCAAGGTAATCCCTGACTACATTCCAGCGGCCTTTTTGTAGAAAAATGGGAAAAGCTGAACCTGAAATTCATATGGAACTTTTCATATGAAACAAAACAGTAATGCAAAGAAAATCAAAGCTGGAGGATTCTGAGTTCCCCACTTCAAAATTAAATACAAGCCTGTAGTAGTTAAAAAGAGTTTATTACTACCATTAGGGTAAGTATATAGACCAAGGGAATAGAATTGACAGTTCACAAATAAATCCAAGCATCTATGACCACACTGATTTTCAGCAAGGGGGCCAAAACTAGTCAATGGGAAAAGTAAATGGTACTGGACAAGTAGATAGCCACATGCAAAAGGAGAAAGCTGACCCTTCACAACACAGATTAAAATATTACACTAAGGCCCTCCCAGGTGGCATGCGAATTAAATGTCCAGGCTATCAAGCTAGCGCCAGCCATTGTGCCATGAGTTGGATCCCCAGCCAGGGTGCTGACCCACATGGAGCAGCAGACGTCTTCTGTCTCACCTGCTGCTCCCCTCAGCAGTGTATTTCAGTAGATCCACCTGTTCTGCTTTTCTCTCTCTCCTACACACCCATACACCCACACCCTACCCCTCTACCTACACCCAGTTCTTATATGCATAAATAAATATAATCTTTTAAAAAAATATTGCCAAGCATAGAAGTCTACATTTAAGTGAAATATCTAGAATAAGAAGATCCATAAGGTCAGAAATTAGATAGGTGATTATAGAGGACTGGGGGGAGGTAGGGATGAGGATTGATTGATGTGAAAACAAGGCTTCTTTTTTAAGGTGATACTGCTTTAGAATTAGATACTAATGAATTCAGTCAAAAAACTGAATATACTAAGAAACGCTGATTTGTACACTTTTAAAAGGTGAATATTGTGGCATGTGAATTGTATCTCCGTAAGCTGTAAGAATCAGGATACAGCTGTCCTCAGATATTCCTTTATTCAAGAACCTTCTGACCCCTCCAGTTAACATGTTTTCTTCTTAAGAATGTTCCATACTTGCGATGCACCTGCTTAATGTAGGCTAGTAACAAGTGGTGACATTTGTGATGGCTCTTTATTCCCATTTTAACCACCAGGTAACCCTGAATAATAGCTAGCAGTTTCTAGTCACAATTTTATCTTCTGTGTAAGAAAAACTTACTCATCTGAAATGTTTGGTGAGATCAGAGGAAATCTTATAATCTAGATCCCCCTAGGCTACTGTGGGTTTTTTCTGTCTCTGTTCATTTTCTTTTTTACATTGATGAAAACATTAAGTTCTTCTGAAGTCAGAATTCATAAATGTCCTTTACTTTGTGATCTTAGTAAGTTGTGTGTTGTTTTAAATTAATACTATATCAGAGGTCAAGGATAAATGGTTAATAGGGCCTCCCAGCTGAAATTCAATCTGAAATTGCTTCCATATGGAGCTTTCAGTTAAATGCCTTCTCAAAAGTACCACTATTCTGATAGCATATTGATGTCCAACTCCTGTTTGCTTTTTATATATCTCACATTTGAAGTGAAGGGTATTTTTCTCTTACTACAATACATAAGGAAATGTTATTTTTCTTTCCCTACCCCTTCCCCTTCCCCCCCTGAAATGTTATTTATTGATGAATTTTTTACTCTGCAAATACCAGCTTTAAAAGTTAGATTTAAGAATGAATTTAACAGATAAATGAGATAAGTATATCTCAATAATAATTAACTGGCTCCCTTTTCTGAACTGGAAAATACTTTAACTTGGCACTGTGACCCTAGAATGAGTGTGGGATATGAGTGGAGTCACACTCAGGCCTCAGGTTTCCCTCGAGCCTCACTGGCCAGTAGTCTGACCCAGCTGTGGCACCAGTGGGGCCGTTGTCCGGGAGGGTTTGGGGTTAGGCCCAGGTAGCGTCCGCAGGTGTTTAGGGAGTGAGGTGCAGGCTGGAGAACTGCTATGTGGAAAACTGCATCCGTAACCTGTACTCAGTGCTTTTATTGGGATTCCAGAATCTTTGTTCTGTTCCATGGATCTCTCTTTGAGTGGTATCTGGGGCTTAGAGTTCCTTACATTTTTTTCTTAAAATTTCTGACCACATATCCTCTGTTTTGGGATTATTTTTACTTTGGCTCTCACTGCTGCTTTTTGGGAACATTAACTCTCAACTGACTGGTTCATGTACTTTCCTGTATGTTTTTATGTATCCAGTGACTTTATTTTAAAATACAAAGACAAAACTATTCAAAGATTACACGTCCAGCAGGTAGTGCAAGTTCAACAATGGAGGGGAGACTCGTTATTTCACGACTTGCCTCAGACTCAGCATTTGAACACTTTTATAAGAAACATATTTTCTTTGAAAAATCACCAAGCAGCTTTCACAAAAAAACGTTTTTTTGTTAGTTTAATTGCAGTAACATTTTCAATATTCGCAGGTTGGAAGTGTAGGCTCTCCCACTTCAGGTGTTGTTACCACCCCACAGCCCCACAGTCCATTGTGCTTTAGCCTCTGTTCTCACCCCTGCTTTTTCTCCTTCCTTCTCTTTGTCTCAGTTTTAGTCGGTTTTCTTTCTTTTTTTTTAAGATTTATTTACTTATTTATGCATCAGAGAACTGGGGTGTGGGCCAGAGATGCCCGGGGGGGGGGGTGAGAGCATTCCCAGAGACAGAGTGGGGAGCAGAACAGGCAGATCCACTGAAATACACTGCTGAGGGGAGCGGCGGGTGAGACAGGAGAGGTCTGCTGTGCCATGGGGGTCACATCCCTGGCCAGGGATCAAACTCAGGCCATAGCAGTGATGTCTCTGAGACTTAACCCCCCGGCCACCATGAAGACCTGTGTTTGTCAGCTGTATAAGATTTGTTGCTAATTTGGCTTTATCTCCATCCCTTTGCTTGATTCCTTTGTATTCTATCTATAAGGGACACCATCCAGTATTTCTCTCTGCCTAACCCCCTCCTGTTTTATACATGTTGTTACAAACGGCAGAATTTTGGTTTTGGTGTGTTGATAGCTGAGTAGTAGTTAATCTTCTTGATCTCATCTACATTGGGCATTTAGGTCATTTCTGAAGTTCAGCTGTTGTAAATAGTGCTGCAGTGAACATAGGAATACAGGTTTCCCTTCAAATTGGTGTTTTTGTATTTTTTGGGTAGATAGCTAGGCAGGAAGTCACTGAGTCGAATGGCTCATAGACGTTTCGTCTTTGTAGAACCATCCACACAGCACTGCAGAGACGCTGACCGGCCGGCTCTCCCGGCAGCGGTGTAAGGGTCTCCTTTGGCTCCTCGACACTCCCAGCACTTGTTTTGGACCCTTTTGATCTGGGCCGTCCTCCCACATGTCTTTGCTGTCTCGTGACTTTGATTTGCATTTCCCTGGCAATAAGTGATGATAAACATTTTTTTAATGTGTGATGGCCGCGTCTCCCACATACCTTTGTCATTCTCTGTCAGCTTGCTCCCTAGTTATTGACAGTACACACACATGACAAGATCCTCTGAGGTCCTATCTGGACCTCTCAATTTATTCTTCCAGAGCAAAGCAGGGAACTTCCTTCGAAGCCAGCTTCCTGATAAATCCCCAGACAATCAAGAAAGTTTAGGGTCCCCCTGGTGGCATAGGGGTTAAAGTCTCAGTGCTATGAAGCTATTACCAGCCACTGCTCTGTGAGTTAGCTCCCTACCCAGGGAGTGACCCCCATGGCATAGCAGACTTCTCCTGTCTAGCCTGCTGCTCCCCTCAGCAGTGTATTTCAGTAGAGCCACCTATTCTGCTCCCCACTCTGTCTCTGGGGAATCCTCTCAGCCCTATCCCATACCTCTGGCCTACACTCTAGTTCTTGTACGCATAAATAAATAAAATATTTTTTTTTAAGAAAATTATGGAGAAAAATAAAATCCTCTGTCTTTGGATGATTTTGGAGTATAAAATCAGACCCTAGTTCAAATACCGTTTCCATCCTGTCCTTGCTGCTTTGCCCACAGCTACTATCTTCTTTGCCCACAGCTATTCCTCCAGTAGCTTCCACTTTCATCCTACATTTAGAAAGATGCTCAAGGCAAGTCACCGCATCGATTTTCTGGCAGTGTGGTTATAGAAAAGAGCAAATATTTAATTACAGTAAAAGGAAGAATGACAAATTGTAGATACACGTACATTTTTCCATCAGGCATTTGGTAAATTACACCCTTTGTCCTGCATACCTACTATTCATAGCCCTCTGTCCTGGGCAGCTCAACAGGCAGCTCTTTTCCACGCTGCCCTGCAGTCTGACCCCAGTCAGCATAAGGCCTGAATGGCCCTGCAGAGGAGAACCCTGTCATGACTGCTTGCAGAAAAAGTGCCAGGCATGCCTGCCTCCTAATGGCTCTGACTAAGCTTTGTTCTGTCTGGTTTTTTTAGGCTTTAAAAGAGATAGATGAAGTTGGGGACCTGTTGCAGCTGAAGTATTCCCGGCATCGGTTGGTGCCTCTCCTGGACAGACCCTTTGACGAGACTACATATGAAGAAACAGAAGACTGAGCCTTTTTGGTGCTCCCTTAGAGGAACTCTCCCCCACCTAGGACAGTGTGTGGCCTTTCTGAGCTGTTCCGGGGACCACACTTCGTGGCCGTCTCACATGAAAGACATTTCCTCAGCTGCTGATGGTGGCCACCTCCTCTCTAAATGGCATTTTGTAAATAGTGAAAAAATTACTTCATGTCCTTCCTTTGCTACATTTCACCTTTACCAAAAAGAGGTAGACTCACTTTGCTTTTTTGTCCATTAAAAAAAAATGTTTTCTTTTATAACTATTCTACTTGTGCAGTCACACTGACGCTATCCTGTCTCTGGCTAACCACACAGGCCTTGGTCCTCCCAGCCCATCACTGCAGCCTTGAGGCTCACCTGGCCTCCTCCCTCTGGAGCAAGTGCCTTCCACTTACTTCCAGGCCAGGTCTCAGAGGTCGCCAACTTTGGAATCCTAGTGGTCAACCAGTCGCTGTCCTCCCTTTGTCTTTGGTGTAGACTTTTAAGAACAACAGTTAAGACTAATGTGCTCTAACGCCCCCCTGGCTGGAGCCTCCAGGGCTTGGTCTTGTTCTACCTGCCTTCTCCCTTCACATCAAATATTTTCTGTAATGGTGGCCATTTGAGAGTACATCCAGTTTCTGGGTTCTTCCCACACTGTAACCTAACACTCATTGTTTTTAAAGCACGCACATCCCACCCTGCTCACCCTGTGGTGAAGCTTCCTCTCCCACCTCACTGTGTCCAGAATTGCTTAGGAGAGTGATGGGCACACCTGCCAGAAGATTACCACAGAGGTTTCTTCACGGCTTTCTACTCTTTAAAATAGACAGCTTCTGCCTGGGTCTGGGTCTAGATTAGAATGTAAATTGATAAAGGAAAAAAAAGATAAATCCTCTGCTCAGAAATAATTTCTCATGTTCCTATTTAAGGTTAGAAGTGATTTTTTTTAAACGGACCCATTTAAATATTACTCTTTGACTGTTAACAACATTCTCTTTTATTCTTAATATTCTAATAAGACTATGCTTTTTCTATGCTTGTATCTGGGACATAGGGTCTCTTTGTTTTCCATTACTATTTTTCTTCCTCTCTGTAATATCTAAACACATCTTTTTGCTAAACTGGGATTATCTGTTTGACAGTTTTCATGCCGAGAAAGGGAACCTCTTTCAGAGAGATTTGCTCTGCTTGACCAAAGAGCCAATCTGAAATTTACCATGTTAAATGTTCTTACTTCTTTTCTGCTGACCAAAGCTTCAGTTAATAGAGCTTTTAACTCTCTTATACCCAAGATCAGTTTGTCTTTTAGCAACCTTTAAGTATTATGGGGCACGGATTGGAAACTGAAAGCAGTTTTGGAAAGTAGTCTGTTTTTGAGACCACGCCTCTTGGTAAAGATTCTCAGTGCAAATTCTTCTGGGTATCTGTTATGAGCTGTGGTATGTTGCACAGATGTGTGGATTGGAGGATGTAAGTGTTGCTGCTGTTGGGAAGTTTTCTTTTCATGTCTTGAGTATAAGGTATCTTTGGTCACTCTCAGCATCTGAGAGCTTTAAACCCTTGAAATATTCCAAGGTTTCGTTTTACTTTTTTAAACAATAGAAAGATGACCAGAAGAACCAAGTAGAGATGTAGGGACTATGTTTAGCAGGTACAGAAATAAAGAAGAGATTGTGATAACTAAGTACAATAAAATACATTGCTAACCTTCCCGCATTTCTAGTTCCTCATCATAGAATTCCATTTGCTTTTGCACTACAGTTGCTATTTTAATATTTTGTGGTTTCTAAAAGTCACAGACTTAAAGCAGTGAACTTATCCATTAGTCTTTCTAGTTGGCTTGCATGAAATCACTGCAATACAAAATGTCGGTATGGGCATCCAAAAAAGAAAAAAACATATAAATGCCTTTGCTAGTGCAAAGTTATTTCAGCATAAGTGTAGTTAAGTTACAAGTTTATTTTGAAAAGATAAACTCAGGTGGTCTCCTTGACTTTATCTAAAGAATAAAACATGATCCACACTGACTGTTTCTTCTTGAAAATGTAATATAAATCTAGGGTCCAGTCATATCACAAGAATCATTATTTAACCAAGCACTTGGGGGAATATAAGTATATATAAATACAGTCATTGGGATATGTAGAAATCTGTGCCATGCAAGTATTATTTAGTACATGGTTTGCTGCAGCCTGACTCAGGAATCTGAGAGGATCACACAGGTGTCAGCTGACCGCCAAGACCAAAGTAGAGCCCAGCACTGGCCAGCTGAGCCGTGACTAGTCCTTCCCCCTTCCTCATCCCTCTTTTAGCTGAACGTTGTCTTTGTCTACTTAAGTTTGTAAGACCTCTTTCTGCAGATCACCTCAGAAACCAGGAAGTTTGTGACTAGGGGACACAAAAATTATACAGAAAGAATGGATCAAGTGGAGTAGTGCTTCTCATCCTACCTTTATTTTAAAAGCTCTAACCTAGAATGTGGTGTGTTTATTCTAAAGCAAGTAAATACTGAGAGAGAATTTCAAGGGTCAGGTCTGTGGAGCACTTATTTAACTTGCTGCTTTGCTTTGGAAAATGCCTTCCCTTTAACAGCCTAGCCTCCAGAACCCCAAAGAACTACATGCTCATTTGAGAAAACCAGTACCTTGATCTTTTCATCACCATCTCAGACTTGCATGAGTGAGTGTGGGTTTCCGACGATTGGAACAAGCCACAGGCCCGTGTAGTCACGCTGAGCAGGCTGGCATGTTCATCTGACATTCTCTCAGCGGTGGGGATTAACGATCCCTTCAAGATTTGTCTCCCTCCAGTATTTGGCCTTTCTGTACCTCCCACTTGTCAGTTCCTGGAATTCCACTTCCAGCGATTCTCAGTGCTCTATATGGTGCTGAGCTTGGAGGGTAGCAGGCGATGCCCTGTCTGTTCCTTCTTGGCCCCACATGGCAGGAGCTGGTGCTGTGGGCGGGCTTCTCTCTTCCCTACTTGGGGAACCTCTGTCTAAGTTTTTTTGGACCAGTGCAGTCTAGGATTTGGCAGAATACCAGATTATAATTACTCTTCAGTTTGAAAGCCAGGAGGAAGAATGGCTTAGGCAGAGAGATTTGCTGGCTTCTCTGAGAAGGTGGGGAAACTGATGATATCAGCACTACCTCCCTGGCCCCCGTCTCCGGCCCCTCTTTCTAAACTGATGAGGATCTGCGGCCCCACTCATGCCATAAGCAATGAAGAAAAAGAATTTGGGTAGTTTTGGTTTTGTCGGAATTTGCAGGCATGTGGCAGAACCCCCTAGAGAAAGTTAAATGCAGTTTACCTTCGCCTGGTTCTCTTGTATTAAGAATCACTGTGACCTAATGCCCAGGGTGTCTTTCTTGGTGGTCTAGGAAGCCAAAGTGGGTTTTAAGCTCTTCTTGCTTTAGCCTGTGTGTTTAGAGAAAAGGGGAGAACAGCGATTTTTCTTCTGTCTACCTTCTTGGAGTTCAAGAACTGTCGAGTATTTCATACAGGTAAAATTAGGGTGAAGGGAAGTTAGGAAAGTCAAAGGATTCTTCTTAGCTGTTGAGCAGCTGTTTGCTTAGATGCAGCCCCAAAACCTATAAATATGCTGCTACCCACTTAATGTGGAAGTTCAGTGCCCAGCAGGCACCTCAGTCCATTAAGCCAGTTAATCAAAATTCTTTTCACGTGGAGAAGAGTGTCCCTTCTCAGTTTTATCCACACGAAATGTAATGTCCTGGCTCCTAGCTGGGCGCACATCCCAGGAGCCAGCTTGGAAGTCTGGTTCACCCCTCTCATGCACAGCGGTGGTGCCAGCATGAGCCAGTCGCCCTGTGTGTAGTTGCACAGGGAACACAGTGCCCTTTTGGTTTCCAGTGACTTTGCTGGGCTGAGCTCTGGGGAGGAAACCAAAGGGGCTCACTTGAGCCCTTATTCAAAATGTTTGTCCTGCCTTAACAGGGACTCTGAGGGGGTCACATGCCCAGTGACACTTGAGTGACTCGGTGGGAGGGCTGTGGCCATGGACTTGCTTACTATAGAGTACATGTGACAAATGGCCTTAAACTGTGATTCTCTGTGGCATGATGAGTTATAATAAATTGGCCCTAAAGGATGCAAAGACGTAAAACTAGTTACTGTGTTTTTACTGAAGTAATACCCACAGTTCTGTTCTTTTAAGAGCAACTATGGGGAGGTTGAATGAATGAAAGACAAAAACAAGCACCATTACATGCTACTGTCCTGCCTTGTTGCCATGTGTGACTGTGACCCTTCCAGGCACAAGGAGCCTTGAGCAAAGCCTAGTCATTTAGCCGGGGCCTTCGAAGGAGTGTGGGGTTTATCACTGGCTAGAGTAGAGTGGTAACTTGTCTCCATACTTAGTATTAGGCCTTGTAACCTCTGTGTTAGACCAATGTGGGAATGATAAAACACATTCCTGATGGTTCTTCACATGATACTGGTGGAATCACCCAGAACTTGGGCCAGTAGTCTTGATGATCCCTCTCTGTATCAAGGTAGCTAACATTTAGAGAAGGGGGAAAGAGAATATGAGTAGAAAAATAGCTTACGGGGGAGCTGAGCTGCTTGCTTTGTTGGCCCATAATTTTCCTTTCACCAATTTACCTGTAATCTGGAATTTGCAAGAGGTGCTGTGACAACCCCTCTCCACTGCTGTAATGTTCGTATACTCTGACAGAGAAGGGGAAATGTAAATAAACATTTTTAAATTTCAGTAATGTGTTCAAATGTCGCTCTTTCTCCTTACCCCCATCTCCCTTTTTTTGCTAGATGATGATTTATTTTTTAATTTTGTTGGAAGACTAAAGCTATAAATAGTGGGGTTGGGGTGGTGGTTAGATGTATCCATTTTGAGTGTATATGTTACAAACAGAAGAACTACTCAAAATGACTTAAGAATCATCCCATGCAAATAAATATATTGTTTTGCCCTAATAAAATATTTAGAAAGATACATCTGCCTTGTTCATTCAACCAATAAATATCAACTGCTGCTTCCATGCCAGGCACGGCACTGAACAGACAAGTCAGAGGGGTTTCTACTTCCTAGTAAACAGACAAACACATACACACAAAGTGATGCACACACTAAATGCTAAAGAGTTTGATAAAAGATTGCAACCAGTATCTGGGTTAGCTGTAATCAAGGGAACGAGTTGCTTAAGGAATGGAGGGTCTGAAAGAAAGTTGGTGTGATGAACTTCATGAGCAAGCTGGAGAGTGAATGGTGAGGTAAGACTCGGCTAGCAGGTGGAAGGAGCGGGTGCTACACTGGGCTGTTAAGAGTTTATCTTGGGCGCTGGTGGAAATGTGAAACGTTTACTGAAAAGATAACCACGCGTATGCTTTTGTAGACATTGACAAGCTAATAAAATTTACATGGAAATGTAAGACCTAGACAATCTTGAAAAAAGAACTTAATTACCTGACTCCATAACTCTCTACAAAACTGCAACAATCAAGACTAAACTTGGAATTAGAATAGCCATACAAGTCAGTAGGAGACTCCAGAAATACACCCACTGCTGTATGGGAAATTGACTTTTAACAAAATGCCAAATTAATTCAATGAGGAAAGTATTATCTACTGATGGTGAGACAACTGGACATCTGAGGGGAAATGTGCTTCAACCCATTTACACAATAATCACTCAAGTCATAGATACGAATGTTAAAACTATAAAACTTCTAGAAGAAAACGAAAAATCTGTGACTTTGGGTGAGGCAATGATTTCTTTTGACACTCGAAGAATGGCTCAAAATAATAAACTGAACTTAAAGTGACAACATGTGTCATCAAAGTTTTCTTTCCAGAGTGTATGCAAGTTATTCCATTAAAAAATAGGCAGATTTGCACAAGCACGTCATAGACGAGGTACGTTAATGAATGGCCAGTAATAACGGGGAATACTCAACAGCGTTGATCTTTAGGGAAATGCACCTTCAAACTACATTCAAAGTCTACCATTCAACCACTAGAAAAGCTACACTGAAAAAAAATACAGTGCCAATAGTAGCAAAAATGTGGAAATGCAAAATGAAACAGCCATTTGAGAGAACAGTTTGCAGCAATTGCATTTGACCAAGAGATGTGAACACAAGTCTACTACATAGGACTTGCACGTGCATGTTCACAGCTGCTTTCTTCACAGCCCCAAGCTGGAAATGACCCCCATGCCATCTTGGTGAGTGGATAGATGGATGTAGCATGTCCATTGGATGGTAAGTTACCAGTACCTACAAGATGGACAAACCTGAAACAGGCTGAAGCAGCCAAATAAAGCAATGCATAAACATGACTGTCAGGGGAGGTGCCGTGCCCCCTGCTATGGGGTGCTGAATAGCCAGGTGAAGCTGTGTAACACAGGAGGCAGATGGGCTCTGGGAGAGAGGTGGAGAAAAGAGGAAAGTCTCACTTCCTTCTTGGCTTTGGACTTGGACTGGGGACTGGGAGGAGAGACATGTAGACACTTAGAAGACTGAGACACAAGTGAGAGACATGGGGAGGCCAGCCTTTATCTTAATTTGTATTTTGAGTTTGCTCTTTTCATCCTAGTCTTACCTGGCCCCATTTGCCCCTTTTCTACGGTTCTCTGCCAAAGGTGCCTTGACTTCTGGCAAGTTTAGGGCCTCAGGCACCTCCCTTCCAGCCAACATTGTTTGGCTAGACATTTGGGTAAATGTCCACAGGCGGACTGGGTGTTTTACTTGGAATATTCTTTCTTCTCTCTCTTAAGCACATCAATTCTATTAAAGATCTTTCACACCAATATATTTTGTGCACGTAGATGGCCTGGCCCCTTTAAAGCATGCAAGCTTGGGGTCCCAGGGTACCCCTCTGTCACTCCCTAACAATTCCATTGATTTGAAGTGCTAGAAAGGCATGACTAGCCTACAGTGACAGACAGTATCAGTGGTTGCCAAGAGCAAAGGGTGGAGGGTAGGGATAATCTGATAAAGTTTTTTTATAGAATCATGACTCCAACAAATGGAAAAATGAACATCAATTAAAGATTGCATTGAGCAATTAAGATTGTTCAATAGGAAACATAAAGAGATTGAAAAATATTTAGTCTGGAATAGAGAAATGAATATGCCAGTAAAAATAAAACTTTTTTCTTACACATTTGATGAGAAAAATCAGTTCAACCTCTACAGAACAGGGCAGAATTTGCATTTCTATAGACAGAATTATTTTGTTTTGCTATTACGTTACTGACAACCTACACAATCATTAAAACAGCTCAAAGGCAATCAAAGACTAGACTGGACCACTGAGAAAGAGGTGAGGTGTTGCTTGGCACAGAACCACAGTCTTTCCCCTGCCATGCTCAAAAGGAAATTGGATCACAGGAAGGTTCTCTCTCGTACCTGTGGTGGCTACCCCGGGTAAATTTGTCAAAACACATTGAGCTGTATAAATTAGGCATGTTTATTGTGTAGAAGTAAGTTACATCCCAATGAAATTTATTTAAAGAAGAAAAGATAAGCAGTGGCATTGGAAGGGGATGTGTAAATAAGAGTGGACACAGTGGAGGGGGGCGGTCGGGTTATAACAAACGTCCCAGCAATGTGGAGAAGAGTGGTGGTGACTGACTTGGACACAGGACACATGAATGAACTCATCCCCCTCAAAGTCCAAATTTAATCTTCTGGAAGGTGCAAAAGTTTGATGAAAAAAATACAGCATTAGTTTAGATGTGAATATATTCACCTCCCCCCCCCCATAAAAATCCTAAAAAACAAAGAGGCCATTTGTATTTAGTCTAATGAAAGCCATATGGTATAGCAGGTGCTCAAATAGGTTTCTCCTGGCTGACATCTGAGTGTTACCAATCTAGCACCTTACTAGTTTGTGTACTGCAGAACTTGCAATTTCTGATTCTTTGTCCAAAAAAAATGGGGATTTCACATAGGTCATCCTCGCATAAACCTAATTTAACGCGTTTCTTATTTATGCCTCACATCGTCTCTTCTTCCTCTCCAAACACACACTTCTACAGTTGACAAAAGCACAGAGAGGTTGAAGAATTTGTTCAAGGGGCCTCCCTGGTGCCATAGATTTTAAAGTCTCAGCACTATTAAGTTTTCTCCAGCCACTGCAGCGTGAGTTCGATCCCCAGCCAGGGAGCTGGCCCACATGGTGCAGCAGACCTCTCCTGTCTTGCCCACTGCTCCCCTCAGCAGGGTATTTCAGTAGACCTATCTGTTCTTCTCCCTGTGCTTGTTTATACACCTCACGCCTCTGGCCTACACTCTACCCCAGTTCTTGTATACATAGATAAATTCTTTTTTTTTTAAAGATTTATTTATTTATTTGTACAGAATTGGGGTACAGGCCAGAGATGCAGAGGGTGAGAGGATTCACCAGAGACAGAGTGGGGTGCAGAACAGGCAGATCGACGAAGTACACTGCTGAGGGGAGCAGCGGGCAGGCCAGGAGAGGTCTGCCACGCCATGTGGATCTCCTCCGGGGCAGACAGGGATCGAACTCATGAGGAAGGGGCTTAAGCTTCTTTGTGCTGTGCTTTAACTTGCTGCGCCACTAGGGAGGGCCTAGATAAATTCTTTTTAAAATTAAAAAAAAAAATGTTCAATAATATCAGTTACTTGGTACATTGTTGAATCTGGAATTCAAATCCCAGAGTCCAGACTGCCGAAGAGATTGTGATCCCCGTAACACCCCAAACAAAACACCGCAGGGCCTGGGTTGTGCTTCTGGGGTCAGGAGTTTCTCAGAACTGTTCCATCTCCCAGGAACAACCCCTAACTAAACCCAGAAGCCAAGTTTTACCCGATGCCTGGGTTTCTGGGCCATGCTCCAGCCTCTTCCCAAGGCCTTCTGCGGGGCCTACCTGACCCACCCGGCCTGTCTGCTGACTCTGCACTCCTATTCCCTACCAGCGGGAATGCAGGCTGCTAAGATTGTTCCTGCTTCCCAAAGTTCTTGATCTTTATCCTAAGCCTAGAGGTGTTTTGTTTGGAAGGCGGTGCCTACATCTGAGGATCCCTGCAGGGTCTTGTGGGGGAGCCGGCAGGGCCACTGTCTAAGCGGGGAGTAGGGGACACCCAGAGGCTGAGCAGGAGTGGTCACTCCCTCAAACGTGTTGTCCTTCTGGGAATTTAGCCTCACGTCTGAGTCGCAACTTTCTCCAGGTTTTTGAAGTGCTCTGAGAACGTTCAGAGGAGACTGGGAGCAGGAAGGCAGGTGTTTCCTCGGATCTTCTCCTCCAGCAGGCAGCGCCTGAGGCGAGGGGAGGCGACTGCAGGCCCTACTCCCCTGGCCACTCTGCCCCGAGGTAGAGATAAACATCTGCCCCAGATCGGAAGGGTCCGCGTGGGGCTGCAGCGCGTCCCTCGCCCGCAGTTCCCCGGGCGGCGAGTGCGGCCCCGCGGGGCTGCAGAGCACCCCACTTCCCCCCCGCAGAGGAATTCGCTTGGGGCTGCGACGGCGACAGCAGCGGGGACCGAAGGCGAGGAGGCGACCAGATCAAAAAGCCTCCGCTGGGCCAAGACTGGCCCGGGAGAGCCAAGGAGCCGCCCTCCAAGAGGGCGGGGGACGTCCTGGGCGCCC